TTCACTGAATTGGGTGGTCCTTTGAACCACACGAAAATCCTGTAGCAATGGAAATTTGTAATATACACTGATTAAAAAGTGTTCCTTTAATGTTTTGAGCAGAGTATAGCATCAAGTCAATTAAACTCCTGGGATATTGATCTGGTCAGTTAAGTAGCACAGAGGGTTGTTAATCAGGTTCAGCTGCTTTGGTGTTAATGAAATTAACAACAGGTGCACTAGATGGGCAACAATGGGACGAACCCCAAAACAGGAACACTACAGAGGTTGCACAGACAGTCCAACTCCTCCAGGATGGTACATCAATATGTGCCATTGCCAGAAGGTTTGCTGTGTCTCTGAGCAGTCTCAAGAGCATGGAGGAGATTCCAGGAGACAGGCAATAACTCCAGGAGAATTGGACAGGGCCATAGAAGGTCCTTAACCCATCAGCAGGACTGGTATCTGCTCCTTTTTGTGAGGAACAGGATGAGCACTGCCAGAGCCCTACAAAATGACCTCCAGCAGGCCACTGGTGTGAATGTCTCTGACCCATCAGAAACAGACTTCATGAGCATGGCCTGAGGTCCTGATGTACTCTAGTGGGCTCTGTGCTCACTGCCCAGCACCATAGAGCTCAATTGGCATTTGCCATTGAACACTAGAATTGGCAGGTCTGCCACTGGCACCCTGTGCTTTTCACAGATGAGAGCAGGTTCACCCTGAGCACATGTGACAGATGTGAAAGGGTCTGGAGAACATTATGCTGCCTGTAACATTGTTCAGTATGACCGTTTTTGGTGGGGAGTCAGTGATGATCTGGGAAGGCATATCCATGGAGGGAGTAACGGACCTCTACAGACTAGACAATGGCACCCTGCCATTAGGTACCAGCATGAAATCCTTGGACCTATCGTCAGACCCTACGCTGGTGCAGTGGGTCCTGGGTATCTCCTAGTGTACAACAATGCCCAGCCTCATGTGGCGAGAGTATGCAGGCAGTTCCTGGAGGATGAAGGAATTGAAGCCACTGAATGGTCCCCAAGCGCACCTGACCTGAATCCAATAGAACACTTCTGGGATATCATGTTACGGTCCTTCCGCCACCAGGTTGCACCTCAGACTGTCCAGGAGCTCAGTTATGCCCTTGTCCAGATCTGGGAGAAAATACCCCAGGAAACAATCCGTTGTCCCATTGGGAGCATGCACCGACATTGTCAGGTATGCATACAAAACACATGGGGGTCATACAAACTACTGAGTACCATGTTGAGTCGCTGCAATAAAATTTCAGCAAAATAGATTAACCTGGTGCATCATTTTTTTCCCACTTTTATTTTCAGGGGAGTCTTTGAATTCAGTCCTCTGTAGGTTGATAATTTTCATTTCCATCAAACCATGGGGCATTCTTACATTCCTAGCACATTACCCAGTCCATATCTGTATAGATATCCAGCATATTTTTCCCCATTGAGATCTGATGTGTTTTCAAAATGTTCCTTTAAATTTTTTAGAGCAGAGTATTAACAGCCCAATTTATCCTTGGTTTTTGGTGTCTAGTTAGGTAATATGCATTTTAAACTATATGATGGCCATCCCCTTTAACCATTAGCTGCCCGCCCAATGGCCGTTTGGCGGCTTCAAAAGTGTTCCTGCATTCCGGGTGCACGCCATTTGGCGTGCTCCCGCACATGCGCAGTTTGCGGTAATGCAGAGCGGCGCAGCAGCGCGATCTGTCACCGGCCGTGCACCTCGGACACGGCCGATGACAGATCCGAGTACCGGCTTCCGTTGCTGGTACCATGTGACCTGCTGTGACCAATCACAGCAGGTCACATGAGAGTTGTATACAATGGATGGCTTCATTCATGCCACCCATTGTATACTAGTGCCTAGCCGTGAATGGTCACAGCTAATCACATGCACATGTCATGTGATTAGCTGTGAGCAAATCACAGCTAAGCACAAAAAAAAAAAAAAAAGTTGAATGAATCGATTTCATTCAGGTAAATGCTTGCTTATAGCAAAGTAATTCTTTGCTATAAGCAAATTGTGTAAAAAAAAAAATACTGATCACTTCCCCAAAGTAGTACAATGTTACTATGGTAACATTGTACTACTTTGGTCATAGTAAAATATGAAAAAAAAATCTTAAAAAAAAAAAAAAGTAATAAAAAAATTGAAAAAAAAAAAAATTTTTTTTTTTTTATTTTTATACTGTCACCAGTCAGTGTCCCTGTTCACCGCCATGCCAGTTATATGATGACGCTGTACTGCACTGGTGACAGTATGAAAAAAAAAAATTTTTTTTTTTTTTTTTTTTAAGATTTTTTTTCATATTTTATAGTGAAAATAATTTAATTTTTTCATTTTCCGTAAAATGACGACAAAAAAAACACAACTTCAAAAAACTCGCCATGCCTCTTATGAAGTACGTCGGACTGTCTACTCTGCAAAAAGGGGTCATTTGGGGATATCTGTACTATTCTGACATTCTTGGACCTCAAGAAATTAGATTAGCCGTCAGTACTTCAGGACTGATCAATTTTCAGATATATACCATAGTTTGTGAACTCTATAACTTTCCTACAAACTAAATAATACATCCTAATTTGGGTTATTTTCACCAAAGACATGTAGCAGAATACATCTCGGCCTAAATTTATGAAGAACAATTATTTATTTGTAAACTTTTATAACAGAAACAAAGAAAAATGTTTTTTTTTCCAAATTTTTGGTCTTTTTTTGTTAATTTAGCAAAAAATAAAAACCCCAATGGTGATTAAATACCACCAAAAGAAAGCTCTAGTTGTGTGAAGAAAATGATAAAATTTTAGTTTGGGTACAGTGTTGTATGACCGCGCAATTGTCATTCAAATTGTGAGAGCGCTGAAACCTGAAAAATGGCCTGGGCAGGAAGGTGTAAAATTGCACGGTATTGAAATGGTTAAATCTCTATTACAAAAAAGTTTAGACTTTATTATAAAGGTTTTTATGGTGGTAATAATAAAAAGGGCTATCATTAGAGAGCATAGCAGATTTTAATAGGAATTAGGCTGCTGTAGATGTTATATTTTAAATAAACACACAATGGCAATAAGGAGTATTATGATTTAGATGTATGGAATAGCCAACTATTTTGATCAAAGTGTATAAGGAGGTAGAGGATGCATGGGGAACATCCAGATGACATCTTGTGGACACAAAACATGTTGGGTGGGGCTATTGACTGCAACATCACATCTGCCCAAGTCACTTCCAGTGTGTGGAGTATATACACCAGAGATTCCAGGAAGTAGGGCGACGTGTGGCAGGTGCAGGCATAATCACATATATTTACCTCCTGCTGATCTGTGCTGTGATTGGACAAAGCACAAGTTTGGCAGCTGCTTTTAGCCATTTTCTGGCTGAAGTCAGCTGATCAGCTATTCCCAATCACATGGTTCTGTATTTACAAAAAACACAGAACTCTGAGTACAGGTAAGAGCAATCAGACTGCTTTCTCTGAAAAGCAGGGAGAAAAAAAAAAAATAGCCATATAGTAAAAGCAGCACATTATTACACACATTGTTGGGTACACATCACTAGCACAGTGAGTGTACAGTATTAGTACTCACTATATTAGTGTCACTATTGAAGGATTTTGCAGGTCTCTTAGTACCCAAAGGGATATGAAGAGGAAGAGAGTCAGGTTGCACCATGCTAAGGCTTTTGTGGACAGAGGCAATGAGATTTTCAATGTTTGCAAGCATGCTGCATAAAGCTCTCTTCAGTAGTGTGACAAATCACTTTTTTGCAGCTTTCTCCAATACTGCCCCAATATCCTCTTTTCTGTCTATGTCTGCCTCCTCTAGGACCAGCATATCCTACTTCAGTTCTCAACAAGAGTTGTAACTGGATCTGAAGGTGTGGTGTTTTTTGGCCCTTGATGAAGATGGCTGCAGTAAGACTGTAGTCTGTCCAAGGTAATGTGAGATAGATTCAGAGATTTCTGCTTTAGTCAAGTAGGCCGCTTGCTGAGTGCCCAAGTTAGAATTGGATGCTGAAAGCAATGTTAGAGCCGGTTCTTTCTACAGTGCAAGGGATGCATCCTGAGTGTTGTGCTGGCCTTCAACAGAGCGATTGCTCAACTGCAATTTTGCATCGATTCCCTTTTGACTGGTTTCCACCATAGCTGCAAGTGAGGGTATTGCCTTGTGGAGTACCCATGGAATATGGTGCAAAGTACAGGATAAGGCGAATATCATCCAAACATAGCCCCAAACAGGCTGATCCTGTCTATTACAGTCTAGCACTATAGACGGGTCAAAGTCCATCATGGCCTAAAGGGGAATGGGTTCCATAGCGATGGACCACTGCCATGGATCTGTGTAGCACCTTGTGGCTAACTCAATATGTTGCACCAAGTGGAAGGTCAGCAACCATTTGGAAAAGTTACATTACAGGCCTTTCCCTACCGCATGGGGGGTACGGCTTCTAAGGTTTTACAGAGACTGCATCAATCTGGATACACTAGTTCTATGTTGGTATTAGAATACAGTGAGGGCTTGATTGAAGAATTGGAAGATAAAAAGAACAGCAATAAACTAGTTAAGCAAAGGATGAGTTTCTCAGAAAAGGTCCTTCACCTTCAGAAACTGGCACAAATCTAAAGACTCAAGGAGTGGGGTAGGGTTAAAGGAGAGACACCCAGGGGGCATGTCCTTTAAAGCTTTGTCAGTCTCCAATCACCTGAACGTACACATCTATAACCCATTGTGTATGAATACTCTGCTTTTGTCCTGTCTGATTAAGATATACATGTTCCCACTGTTCTATGTATACTTGCAAATGATAATTGTTGCATCTCTGTATACAATTGTCTTGAAAGAATTAAACTGTAGTCTGTAATTACTTATTATAAAGTGGCTACAAGAGAGCTTTAATTAGATTGCAAATAATTTATTATAAAATATACCCATAAATATATGAAACAAAAAAAAAGGACAGGTCTAGTGTCAAGTCTATTTCGATTACAACATTCACATGAGATCGCTAAAGAATGGGTGTAACAACGCTTCCTCAGCTGTGATCCTTGTGGCTGGATTCATATCCAGCAATCTGTCTAATAGATGGTAGGCCTCATCTGGTACACTGTCCCAGCCATTTAAGTTAGGTTGCTTGGATCCTGTGGCCTCTGTCATGAGTGTGTAGTTTAAACCTTTATCGGTATCCTCAGAAGGATTGACATTAGTCTGCTCAACAAACCAGCTATCTTGCTTTTCCATTATTTTTAGCTGCAGTGATGATAGCGGTTTTTGGAGTTCTATTTCACTACCCGATGCAGACACCATGCACACTCTTCTTAGTTCTTCACATAATGTTCTTAAATCTTTTGAAGGAAGAACTTTGCTACAAATCACGGTCTTACCTGGAGAGAAAAAAATAAAATAAAAAAAACACAATGTCAAAGTCTATTGCTCCGGCTACTCAATTGGAAAACATTACTAGAGAAGAGTTACAGACAACACACTGAAAGCCCAGCTCCAGGAAACTTAAATTCTCCTTTGCAGTTGGGCTGCACCCACTGCAAGGGATATTTGCACATTTCGGTCTAGGGGCAGAGAAAGAGGACTTTTTACTTGTGTGTAAATTCCATATTTTGAAGTACAGTACAGGCCAGACTGAGTATTCATAGACTTTGATTCGGCACACCATTTGGATGCCCCATCTATAACCCTTTCAAAATCAGTGAGTCCTCAGTTTTTCAGAAAGCAATGCAGAGTAACACAAGAACAGGAGGGTGGACTGTGGTCTGTACTGTACGTTAAAGTTAAACTAATCTTTAGCTCGGTGGCTTTCCGGCAACAATCCCCAGCCATTTCAACTGACTGCCCCAAGGCAACGTCATTACCGTGAATGCGTGAGAGTTCGGTCAGCTCAGCACTGCCGAAATTTTACGCCGAACTGCGCATGTACAGCGCAGACACGCATGCAACTTTAACCCTTATTGTAATACGACAGCCCGGGAGTCTTATTATCTTGGAAGTCATATGACATCCTCCCAGGATTGTGTACTGAGCTCCAGTGCAATCTGTCACCCACTGTGTCCACCGGACACAGCTGATGACAGATCACTGTATCAGCCCGGTGCCAGTACCTTTTGATCGCTGTTGCCAATCACATGACAACTGGACACAATAATAAAAGATGAGGCGATTGGTCACAGTGATCACATGGTACAGACAGGGCCAATCACAGCCCATCTGTGATTGGCCACAGCTAAGCACATGGCGCAAAACACTGAATGATTTTCAAATCGGAAAAAAATGCTTGCATATAAAGTTGTAAAATTCTGTTACGGAATCCTAGTGTGTAAAAAATAGGAATTTTTTTTAAAAATGTTTTTGTTAAACATACTGTCACCAGTAGGTGTCCCTGATCACTGCCACACCAGTTATGACAACACTGTACAGTACCAGTGACCGTATAAAAGTTTAAAAAAAAAAAAAAAAAAAAAAAAAAAAGATTGTGGGAACATATATTTTTAATCTCTTCAGTCCTCCCCCCAAAAAAGTGACAAAAATGTACTTAAAAAAACCCAAAAAAAAAAACCATGGGCTGGCTACTTTCCAAAAAGGGGGTCGTTTGGGGGATATTTCTACTGTCTTGGCATTTTCTGGTCTCAAAATTATATGCACACACAACATAGTTTGTGGACTTTCCTACATACTAAATAATATACACTGATTTGGGTTATTTTCAAAGAAATTTAGCAGTATACAGTGCATCCAGAAAGTATTCACAGCGCTTAACTTTTGCCAAATTTTAGGTTACAACCTTATTCCAAAATTGATTAAATTCATTTTTTTCCCCTCAACATTCTACAAACAATACCCCATAATGACAACATCAAAAGAAGTTAGTTTTGAAACCTTTACAATTTATTAAAAATAAAAACGAAAAAAAACAAACAACTTGTACATAAAGTATTCACAGCCTTTGCTCAATACTTTGTTGAAGCACCTTTAGCACCAATTACAGCCTCAAGTCGTCTTGAGTATGATGCTACAAGCTCAGCACACCTATTTTTGGGCAATTTCTTCCATTCTTCTTTGCAGTACCTCAAGCTCCATCAGGTTGGATGGGGAACGTCGGTGCACAGCCATTTTCAGATCTTTCCAGAGATGTTCAAATCAGGTTCAAGTCTGGGCTCTGGCTGGGCCACTCCAGGACATTCACAGAGTTGGCCTGTAGCCACTCCTTTGTTATGTGGGCTGTGTGCTTTGGGTCGTCTTGTTGAAAGGTGAACCGTCACCCCAGTCTAAGGTCCAGAGCGCTCTGGAACAAGTTTTCATCAAGGACATCTCTGTACATTGCTGCATTCATCTTTTTTTCAATCCTGACTAGTCTCCCAGTTCCTGCCGCTGAAAAGCAATCCCACAGCATGATGCTGCCACCACTATGCTTCACTGTAGGGATAGTATTGGCCAGGTGGTGAGGGGGGTGCCTGGTTTCTTCCAGACATGACGATTGGCATTCAGGCCAAAGAGTTCAATCTTTGTTTCATCAGACCAGAGAGTTTTGTTTCCCGTGATCTGAGAGTCCCTCTGGTGCCTTTTGGCAAACTCCAAGCAGGTTGCCATTTGCCTTTTACCTAGGAGTGGCTTCCGTGTGACCACTCTACCATACAGGCCTGATTGGTGGAGTGCTGCAGAGATGGTTCCTCTGGAAGCTTCTCCTCTCTCCACAGAGAAACGCTGAAGCTCTCTTTCAGAGTGACCATCGGGTGCTTGGTTACTTCCCTGGCTAAAAGGTCCTTCTCCCTCGATTGCTCATTTTGGCCAGGCCAGGCGGCCCGCTCTAGGAAGATTCCTGGTGGTTCCAAATTTCTTCCATTTACAGATGGGGCCACTGTGCTCATTGTGACCTTCAATGCTGTAGAAATATTTCTGTACCCTTCCTCAGATCTGTGCCTTGATACAATCCTGTTTTGGAGGTATACAGACAATTCCTTGGACTTCATGGCTTGGTTTGTGCTCTGACATGCACTGTTAACTGTGGGACCTTATATAGACAGGTTTATGCCTCTCCTAATCATGTCCAATCAACTGAATTTCCCACAGATGAACTCTAATCAAGTTGTGGAAACATCTGAAGGATGATCATTGGGAATAGGATGCATCAGAGCTCAATTTTGAGTGTCATGGCAAAGGATGTGAATACTTACACATTGTTTTCGTTTTTTTATTATTATTTTTAATAAATTGTAAATATTTCAAAGCGAATTTCTTTCACGTTGTCATTATGGGGTATTTGTAGAATGTTGAGGAAAAAAATGAATTTAATGCATTTTGGAATAAGGCTGTAACATAACAAAATGTGGCAAAAGTTAGGCACTGAATACATTCCGGATGTACATTTTGGCCTAAATTTATGAAGAACAATTTTTTTATTTGCAAAACGTAGTAATAATTTAAGAATGTGTTTTTTTCAAATTTTTTGGTCTTTCCTTTTTAGCAAAAGAAGAAAAAAGAAAACAAAAAAAAAAAATTAAAATATCACAGCGGTGATTAACTGCCACTGAAAGAAAGCTCTATTAAGACATTAACAAGAAATAAAACTGAATAAACCATTCCATATATACATGTGATAAAAACGGCCACAAAATAATCCATAGACATTGCAAAGCAACTGGGTCCACCAGTGACACATCCACAAAAAAACACATCGAAAGGATACTACCCAATCCAGGACCACCACCCAGAGAAAGGCATAGCCACAAAGAAGGGGGCATTGACAAAGAACCTCAAGATGGAAACAGATCTCGAAGTTCTATAATTATAAGTGATTGGTCATAGTAGTTACAATATTTGATATAAACAGGACCTGTATCAATAATTATACACAGATCATTCTAAAAAAAAAAAAGAAAAAAAAAAAAAAAAAATGAATATGATAATGTTTAAGAGGTCTATATACATAGTAACCATCAAAAATCTGGTCACCGACCCAGGTCTAAAACTGGATTTTAGAACAGTGAACATGGACGGGCATCGCATATGAAATATAAATAGGGCTACCCTGTTCAACTTACCAGCCAAACCTAGTCTAGTGGCTTTTTTCAGCAAGGAACATGGATAGGTATCACTTATCAAAAAGGGGGATAAGAAAGCAAGTTCAATCCAAAAAAGCCATTATTAGACTGGGGTTGGCTGGTAAGTTGATCAGGGTAGCCCTATTTATATTTCATATGTGATGCCCGTCCATGTTCACTGTTGAAAAAGCCAGTTATAGACCTGGGTCAGTGACCAGATTTTTGAATGTATATTTTGAGGTTTGTGGGTGCATTGGACACCCTGGCTGCCGTTGTGCTATATGCTGGGTGTCAGTGCGCTCCTGTACCTTTAACGAGGGGTGGGCTCCCTCAGGTCCACCTGCCCTTGGTCTATCCATTAAATGCACGTGTCTCTACTATGAGGACTCAGAAGATTTATAGAGTTAGGACCACAGATACTCAGGGTACCGTGATGTGGCTCTGTGGCTTATGTATGTATTTGCAATTGTGTGCTAACGAAACCCCTGTTTTTAAACGCATGTTCTTAGACAGGTTAATTTGGTTTTTGATAGTTGGCTAAGAACATGCGTTTAAAAACAGGGGTTTCGTTCGCACACATTTGCAAATACATACGCAAGCCACAGAGCCACATCACGGCAACCTGCGTATCTGTGGTCCTAACTCTATAAATCTTGAGAGTCCTCATAGTAGAGGCACGTGCATATGCCTCTACTATGGATTATATTTCTATATACATAGTAAACAAGGTAACTATATACTGCCATACAGGAATAACCCCCACTGTTAAAAACAATCCATAAAAAAGGTCAATCCCATGTGAAGAAACCACATGATCCCCAACTGATCATATATGTTTGTGGATCTATACCCTTAAATCATAGAAATGGTATGATAGATTTTCATAGAAATGGTATGATAGATTTTCATTAAGGTCTGGCGGATTTACTGCATTTAAACTTAAGATCCACTTGGTTTCTCTACGGAGAATTTTTTTTATCCCAATTGCCTCCACATGTGTCTCTCATAACAACCTCCAATACAATAAATCTAGCATGTGTGGAATCAAATTTATGATATACTCCCAAATGGCGACTAATAGTGGTGAGCATTTTGGCATTAGATGAATAATAAACGTGATAACGTATGCTTTGACTAAACTGACATATGGTTTTACCCACGTTACGGTCCCCCCATGCCTGCTGTCCCTTCTCAATGCTCTCCCTTTGATCCACCCCTCCCTCCCCCCTTGCAGATTCCTCGCATCCTGAATCAGCCTACATCAAAGGCTGTACAGGACGGGAGGAAATACCCCCTGAGGTGCGGGTAGCACCTCTCCTCAGCGAAGTCCCTGA